AAAAATTCATTCAATGTTTCTAAGGATCTCCGTGTTTTTACTATAATATAGATATAGATTAGACGACCACTTATTAGGAGATTGAGATAGTAAGTTTTACGACAAATTCTTTTGTCAACTAGTAATTAGAAGCAACAAATAGGCATGTTTGTGTTTTTAGTATAACTACTCTCTGGATACATGTATTGCACATGTATCTTAAAATCTTTTGGTACATAATTTAATTTGAATAATCACATAAAATTATTACTGAATTTGAATATTGTCCAAGTTATTCTATGAATTTAAATTTGACAAAATTTAAGTGCTTACAATATTATCCATTCAAATCATGTTTATATTAATCATTTATCAATCTATAACTATTTTTTCGGTATTTTAAGTTAGAGTTTTAAGTTTTAAATGTACAATGATGATACTTTTATTTTTTAAACCATAACTTGTTAGTTGATCCATAACAAGTAGTAATTGAAAAAATATCTAAAAATATATAGCAACAATATTCGTCCACTTCAAAACTTAACTAACCAATCTTTCATCCAAAAATATACACATATTTCTCCATGAAGGCCATTCATTCAACATTCAAAGTAAATAAATTTGATATCGAATATGAAATTGTGTTAAACTTGATAAATTCAGAACAATAGAAGTTGATACCATTTCAGATTTTGAGCACGTTTGGATTGACTTTTCATTTTTTATTTATAAGTCAAAAGTCATAAGTCATTATGACTTATTTTTAGCATTTTAGCTTAAACTAAATGCTTATAAACACTATTTAAATTTATCCAAGCACTCTAAAAATGTTTTAAAACTATTTTAGCTTTAAAACGCTAAAAATAAGTCAATCCAAACAAGATATAATAATAATGGAAGAGAGTTAGGAATGAGATTTTAGGTACAAAATGTGAGAAAATTATTACAGAATAACTTTTCTACCTTATTCTAAATAAGTTCCGTATATACTCTATCTTTTGCCTACTCCACTAATAGAATCACATCACAATGAGTATGTTGTGTTGTTAACTAAATTCTAAATTTAATTGGTACTGTGATGATAAAAAATATTTGACGGAAACTCACTTTGAAAGCTTCGTAGTTTATGTTATTTTTGGCTATTTCAACAATCTGATGCAACTTTTTGAGATGATTTTTCTATCTGTTTTTATGTTGCAAATTACTGGCGGATTTTTATTTTTTATGTTTCTAATTGATCGTTTTTTTTTGTTTCGATTATATTAATTAATCAAAATTTGATAGAAATTAAAAGTGTTCACATTTAATAAATTTTAAAAATTAAAATTGCTCAGTTAATTTGAAGGAGACTATTTTAAATTTACTTTCATCGATAAGTAAGGTTATCTCCAACCTAACACTATCTTTTATAGAGCTGGGAGCCTAAATAAGCCACAAAAACATAAAAGTGACCAAAATAAGCCACCACTTTAGGAAGCAACTAAAATAGGCTTAGTGGAAGAAAAAATTCCACTTTATCTAATATTCTAAATGTTTTCCGTTAGTTTCATAACGTGTATATTTTAATATATAACGGAGCTATTTCCTACACTTCATAAAATAGAACTATTTATTACGCTTTATAAAGTGTAAATTTTTCTTACACTTTGTAAAGTGGAACTTTTTCTTACACTTTATAAAAAGTTACTTTACCTTTTCACTTTCTTCTTCTCCCCTTTCACTTTCATGGCTTCCAAACTTTTTCAGAATGAAGATTAACAGTTGATGGTCCCCAATCCGACAACTGAAGCGGCCCTACACTACAAAATCAAAATCTTGAAAGATTGGAGTAGCACAACCCGACAACATAACAATCCGACCCTACAAATTATATAAATTAGGTATTTTTTCATCTCATATTTTCATTACTTAAAAATGACGTTGTAATTTGTTCAAAATTTCAAAAGTATAATAGATTAGAAATAAGTTGGAACTTAGCTTCATTACTCATTTGCTACAAATTATACTACCAAAAGTATTAGACATTTACGTTTCTAATCCCCTAAAATAAAAATATGTTATAGGAACTTTTGCTGATGTACTTTAGGTACAAATATATGTTAACTAGACCAAATTAGATCAAGTTACGGAAAAAGAAATAGGAGGACGGGGAGAGAAAAAAGCTTATAGACAATAAAAAGAGTAATTTTGCTAAGTGGAGAATATAATTAAATAATTACAAACCAATATTGCCAACTTTTGGATCATTATGCAATCATGCAATAAGATTTTCTTATGCTAAGCATAAACTATAATGGTAAATACTTAAAAACAAGGTGATTAAACAGAACTAATAAATTCGAGATTGGTATACAATTGAGAATACTTAAAGCAAATACACAATGACTTAAGCAAGGGAATACTCACCCATAAACCATAACAAGTTTAAGATCTTGTCCTGATTTGGCAACTGTAGGTTCAAAGCAGTCCTACATAGAAAGACATGAGAATTAAGATTGGACAAGAACCTTGAATTAGGAAAAATTTAACACATTATACAAGGATAAGTTTTAGATATTCAGCTAATGAGAATAGAGGGATATGTTTTATATATTCAACTAATGAATGAATTTCTTAGAATGTGATTTTATACAAAAACAACAAGAGTAATAAAATGACAGTTGAGGTCTAGGAAGGGTAGAATGTACGTAGATATTACACCTACCTCATGGAGTTAGAATGTGATTTTATAGTATAATTAAAATTGAATTATAATAGAAACTTTAGATATCAAGAGTTGTGGAATGAAAAAAGAGGGAAGATGGAATATAAGTATTTTATACAAGAGCATTCACACCAATACAAAAATATAAAGTAAAAACTTGGTCAGTTGTGCATTCATCATAAAGACTTAGTTAAGACCATACCTCCAAATGCCACATTAGTAGTAGGAAACGTCAAAAGTGGAGGAAGCTTCAAAATCAAAATCACATCCAAAAAAGAAACATAAAAAAATATGAGATGGAAATAAAAATTGTCTATGTAATCAACTTTCGAAAGAGCCATAACGGACAAATCTAATATGCAATTGAATAGGAGGAAGTGGAAAACAAAAAAATAAAAGAGTAGAACAACTTAAAGGACTAATGGACCTAACCCAATAACAGATTGAAGATATCATCTTGGTCCCTTCACACATTACTGAATGAAAGGGAAACCTAAAGAGATAGTGCAATAAGAAGTTCCAATCACAAAGTAATGGCAAAAACAAAGACAAAACAAAGGTTGAAAATAGGAAATCACTAAATGAATTGATCAATTTATCATGCCTACGTTGGTTCGATGAATTGCAATATGCATTCACTAGTTCATGAGTCATCCTAGACATCACTTCAAATACAAGATAATGGTGAAAGTCATCTCATATAAAATAAAGTACAATTTTTTTGAATTCCCTCCTAAATAATAGCACAATAATAGTTTGAGTCTATGAGATGTGAGTAAAAATTATATCAGTGTTAGTTGACTTTGTAAAAAATCTCACATCTATTCCATCGTTAATGATATTCTTGGAGGTTATCTTTACCGTCACTATCAAGTCTCAAATTGAAAGCACATGTAATGAACATAATGAAACTTATAAATTGTCAAATTTCAAAGAAAAATAACTTTAAGCCATAAGCCACCAAAATTGTTGTTAGAACATTACTCATTTCAAGCCAAAAGCAGTAGCAGCATGTAGTTAATACACTATAGCTTCCACAACTACTATTCTAGCTTATTTCTTGACAAGGATGTGAAAAGTTATTCTCTATCAAAAAAAAGTAGCTCACAGTATCATTTTTTTTTGTAAAAAGTTATTCTCTATAAAAAAAAAGTGCTCACAGTATCTTTTTTTTTTCTATTTTTTTTCTTAAGGTTGACTCGACAAATAACACATTTAATTGACTTGCTGAAGTTAGAGATTCTCACAACTACTATTCTAGCTTATTTCTTTTTTTTTTTGTAAAAAGTTATTCTCTATAAAAAAAAAAGTGCTGACAGTATCATTTTTTTTCTATTTTTTTTCTTAAGGTTGACTCGACAAATAACACATTTAATTGACTTGCTGAAGTTAGAGATTCTTTAGTTCTCATACAATTATTCGTTTGCAGATAGTTCATGGTTTAATTTGTCAAGATATAATTATATTAAATGAATTAATAGAATTTTTCTTACAGAATATAATGGAGCGTGTTGTGAATCCTGGACCGATTGATCATACGCGTCTTCTCTCTCAGCATGAGCATAAATCAGAATTGTTATGGAAATGTGAGATATCATTTAGTAGCCTTATGAGGACGGTGCGCATGAATGATGCTTGGAATTTATTTCGTTTGCATCGACCTCATGGACGTGTTGAGGAGATCTTACGTAGGTCAGGACTGTATGATGTAGTTTGTGTGGGTAGGATGCAGTATGACCGTGCCCTTGTTACAACTATGGTTGAGCGTTGGAGGCCAGAGACTCATTGTTTCCACTTACCTTTTGGTGAGGTCACAATTACATTACAGGATGTGCAAGTCTTGTTTGGTTTGCGCATCGATGGTGATGCTTTGTACATGCAAGATGCTGCAGGGAGGATTCGTCCATGACGTACTTTATTAGAGACACTCACAGGATGCGCCATAGCACCTGCTGATATGGATGGTGCGAGCTGGGTGAGGATACATAGCATTACCGGCTACTTGCGAGATCAGTTACAAGTAGATCCGATAGGAGATGCACTACCACAAAGTTAGCTTTTAGCGGCAATTATTTAATGGCAATAATATAAGTGCCGCTAAATATGTTTTAAACCTAATTATTTAGGGGCAATTGACCATTAGCCGGTAAAAGTAAACTTTTTAACGACACTTACTTAAAAAATCTAATAAAAAAGCTAAATTCTATTTCATTCAATAAAAATAAATACTTTTTCTTACACAAAATTCCCAAATTCCAAAATTTTCGATCTCTCTTTCTCCATTCCCATCTGAAGCGACAACTCTGAGCTTACAACTCTGAGCTCACAAAATTGATCTTAAGTTTCATCTTCTTCGTCTTCGACTTCGTAGTTTCCATCTCCGTCTCCTTCGTCCGCCATCGATTTCTAACCCTTTGTCACCGCCTCAAGGTATGCCGATGCGCTCTGATTCTTTTGTCTTGAATGTGATTGGATGATAATGATTGTTTTGTGTTGAAATTGTGATATATGAGGAATGTAATGTGTTGTAGTTTGCTGCGAGAGTTGTATTCTGTGCATTGTGTGTTGTGCTAAGCACTACTTGTATTAGATTTTCAGCATATAGATGGTGGTCCTTTCTCTACGTAGCCTCCTCTGGTTAGATTTCTTAGCCTATTAGTGGAATTGTGCAAGTCTGTTGCGTAGTAAGCATATTGGGCACTATTTGTTGTATCGACAGGGTACTGAACAAGGTTCCCATCATTTTGCATTTTGAGGCAGAAAATCCCGAATAAATCATCTGCTTCTGAGGCACTCGAGAAAAACTCTTGTCCAGCTGATATATGCTTATATAGTGACGGAATATTGTTCATCGCTAATATCCGTCGCTAAACACTATTTTTTTAGTAGTGAAAGTTTTTCGTGTCCAGCACGGAAGCTCAAGCAATGGCTCGAGATGGATTGATGACAGAGATTTCCTGGCTACCTACTTGCATAATGAGCCTTCCATCACTAGTTAAGAGTAGGACAACGTTGCTTGGGACAATATGAGTGTTCTTGTTTGAAGTCCATACTGTTGTTTTCTTAGGCATACCAACAATTGAACTTCCAACAGCATAGCCATTGGTTTGTTTGTAGTATCCAAAGGCAATTGGATCAGTAATAGTATGTTTGGATGAACCATACAGAATAACACTCCAAAGTTAAAAATTTTTTATAATTAATTATTATCAACTTGTTAGAAGAGATCGGATAGGACACTTTTGTTTCAGTAATATCCTAAGTTGAGCCTTTTGGCACTCCAACTTTGTATCCCAATGTCTGCTTTTGGAACTAATAGCTCTGACAACCTTTGGGAATTTGACAAATCCTTTGATCCCTCGTTTGATGTGTGGATTTTCAGCTTCTTGTGAATGGTTTCTTCGATGAATCATCACTTGGTACCGAAAATTAGAAGCATTGTTTCCCTCACTAATAGATTTGTGATCACGCCTTGTTTCTGTTTCATCATCACATGAAGCTGATGAAGTGTTATAGCTGTTGTTGTTGTTCTCTTGAATCTTGGCTTCAATTTTCGCATTGGATTGCTCTGTTTGTAACATTTTCTTGGTTGCTTCCAATAAATATTTAGCCTCTGTTAGCTTAATTTGATTGGTAAGCTTAGACATATCTCTATTGGTAAGCTTAGACATGGCTAACAGAAGCTTAAACACCTTATCTAGAACTGCCATGTTGATTATTTTGTCTTTCATGCTAAATTTTCTTTTTTTGTTATTGTAGAAAAGTAAGACATTTCTTGAACAATCATGGAGAATTCTAGGAATAGAAGATGGATGGATTACAGTAGAGTCAGTAAAGAGTATTTAGATGGAGTAGAAAATTTTCTAAACCATGCGTTTCGTGAAAATCATAATGGAGGAACAATTTCATACCCCTGTACAAAATGTGTGCTCTATTATCAAGTAAATCGAGCAGTGGCATATGATTATCTTGTCGTTAATGGTATTATGCCATTATATAATACTTGGTTTTGTCATGGAGAGTCTCTCAATCGATCAACTAGTACTGAAGAAAATAATGACAGACAAGAAGCTTTAAGGAGCGCTGATATGAGAGAAATGATACATGATGTTTTTGGAAGCTTCATCCAGTTCAATGATAATATTAGTGAAAGGGAAGAGATAGCGCCAAATGTAGAGGAAAATGCTCCTCATCCATCAAGATTTCAACCTCATCCAGAGATAGATAAGTTTGAACAACTCATGAGAGATTCAAATGAAGAACTTTACCCTGGGTGCAAAAAATTCAGTAAACTATCATTTGTGCTTCAACTATACCGTATAAAACTATTATTCAAATGGTCGAATGAGTCTTTTAATGCCTTGCTTGGTTTATTGAAGGATGCATTACCTGAGGGTGAGAAGTTGCCTTCTTCATTTTATGAGAGCAAGAAGATTATTGAGGGCTTGGGGTTAAATTACAAAAAGATTCATGTTTGTCCCAATGATTGCATGCTTTTTAGGAATGAGTTTGCTAAGAAGGATGTCAATGAATGCTTAATTTGTGGGGCTTCTAGATGGAAAAACAGTGTCAAAAAGATTCCAGCCAAGGTACTAAGACACTTTCCTCTAAAACCAAGACTACAAAGGTTATATATATCTTCAAAAATAGCTAAATTGATGCGATGGCATCACGAAGAATGGAATAAGGATGGAGTTCTTCGACATCCTGCAGATTCTGAAGCTTGGAAAGCTTTTGACATCAGACATCAAGAATTTGCTAAAGATCCTCGCAATGGTCGGTTAGGATTGGCTAGTGATGGTTTTAATCCTTTTGGTACTATGCGAAGTGTTTACAGTACATGGCCGGTGATTTTAATGCCATATAATCTTCCACCATGGTTGTGCATGAAAGAAGACTTCTTCATTCTATCCTTGCTCATTCCTGGACCAAAAGGACCCGGAAATAATATTTATGTCTTTCTAGAACTTTGATAGAAGAGTTAAATGATTTGTGGTCTGTGGGGACAAAAACCATTGATTCCTTTTCTAACGAGACATTTCAATTGCGAGTTGCTCTCATGTGGACCATAAATGATTTTCCAGCATATGGTTCTCTATCAGGATGGTGTACTAATGGTCAATTTGCATGCCCCTGCTGCAACATAAACACTCAATCTAAATGGTTGAAACATGGTAAAAAAGTTTTGTTTCATGGGCCATCGGCGTTTCTTGATGCAAGGACATAAATATCAAAATGATGCAAAATCATTTGATGGGACTAAAGAATTAAGACCCGCACCTTCTCCTATATCTGGGTCACAAGTTCTAAATCAAGTTAAAGGCATAAAGTTCACCCTTGGTCAGTTAAGTAAAAAGGCAAGCGGGGTGATGAAAAACACATGAAAAAAAAAGAGTATTTTTTTCAACCTTCCTTACTGGGAGTATAATTTGGTTCTTCATAACCTTGATGTGATGCATATAGAATAGAATGTGTGTGATAACTTGATTTATACATTATTGGGTCTTGATAAAAAATCAAAAGACAATGTGGAAGCTCGATTGGACTTAAAGGAGATGAATATAAGACCAGCCTTATGGCCTCAACAACGAGCTAGTGGAAGGACATATCTTCCTCCTACTTATTTTACAATGTCGCCGAAAGAAAAGAGGTTATTCTACGAAGTATTAGAAAATGTTAAGTTTCCATATGGCTATGCATCTAATATCTCGCGTTGCATTCGCAAACGAAACTTGTCAGGACTCAAAACTCATGATTGTCATGTTATATTGCAAGAACTCCTTCCTATTGCCTTGAGGAGATCGGCAGATAAAAGGGTGACTTCTGTTTTAATTGAATTATGCTCATATTTTCGAGTGCTTTGTAGCAAAGTGCTTAAATTCAAAGAGTTAGAGTTACTGGTAGAAAAAATTGCACAAACTATGAGTAATATGGAGACCATTTTCCTACCATCATTTTTTACTGTCATGGTACATTTGGTTATTCACTTGGCTTTAGAGGTTAAAATTGCGGGACCGGTACAATATCGTTGGATGTACCCAATTGAGAGGTATGAAGAATCATATTATATGTTAATCATACATTTTAAGTTATAAATTGCTAAAATATTAGACTGATGTAATGATTTTATGCAACAGGTACTTGCGTAAATTAAAATCGTATGTTCGCAATCTTTCATGTCCAGAAGGTTCGATAGCTGAAACATATATTGCGAATGAGTGTTTGCAATCTTGCTCACTGTATATGGAAGGTGGCGATTCAAGGTCTTATTGGACTAGAAAAAGTAAAGATGATACTAAACATGAGATTGATAAAGAAGGCTGTCTTTTTCCTACTATTGGAAAAATCATATGGCTCTGTAGAAGTAATTAAGTTGGATCAGAAAACATGGGTGCAAAACACATCGATATGTGCTTTTCAATTGTGAATCAGATGTGGTCGACTATTACAAAAAAGTGAGTATTATCTTTGTTAATTTAATTTAAGTCCTTGAATGTGTTTCTTGATTTGGGTATTTCAAGAACTTAGCAAAGATGATAACTTTATTTGATTTCTACCATGACTGTTGTTGTGCCGTTTTATGTACCTATGTTTGAGTTTGGAGGTGCAAGATTGCTAATTTTTGAGCAATTTCTTGATACAGTTGTCTCAATTGTCTCTATACATGTTGATTTTGATTGCTCATGTCATTAGATGGTAGACAAGTTTTAGAGACTGAAGCAGAGTTAAAATAAAATGGAAAGAAGAAAATCAATTAATGAACAATAATCAAACATAGGCCATTGAGTTAAAAGAAGATGGAAAATAAACTCCCTAGTGGATATATTTCTTAATTTGTTCAGTTAACTCTAGTTTTCTTGTACAGTGAGCATATTAGTGAAATCAAACGATTGCATCGCAAACGCCGCCTTACCCAACATCAGCTTAATCGCTTGCATTTTGAAAATTCTCATGAATGGTTCAAGGAGCAAGTAAGTAGTAAGATTCAATAGTCACCTACTTTAAAGTATCGTCTCTTGTACTAATATTTGTAACTACAGTTGTCTATTGCTCTTTGGGCAGGTCAAAGAGTTGGATCTCATATCTAATATCTCAAATGATGTTAAAGCCCTTGCACAAGGTCCATGTTACTTCGCAAGAAGATTCAAGGCATTCCATATGAATAATGGGTATCGATTTCGTACAAAACAGTATGAAGAGTTCATGCAGACACAAAATAGTGGGGTTCTGGTTGTCTCAATGACAGAGAGCTATGCAAGTACTAGTGACAGTGCTCCAAAATCAGGAAATATTACATATTATGGCAGACTGAATGATATTGTTGAGTTGAACTACTATGAAAAATTTAAAGTCGTCTTGTTTAAATGTGATTGGGTTGATGTAACTCAAGGTCGAGGAGTTATGAAAGACGACTTAGGTTTCACACTTGTGAACTTCTCACATCTAATACATTCAGGTGACCGGATAAGTGATGAGCCATTTGTTTTTGCTGGACAAGCTCAGCAAGTGATATTTGTTCAAGATCCTGAAGATCATGAATGGTTTGTCCCTAGGTCAATTAAACCGTGAAACATTTTTGATAAGGGAGAAGAAAATAGTAAAAAATTTGACTCATCAATGCAGTGTGATACAACTGATTTAACTATCTTAGAAAATATTCGTGATTTAGAAGATGACAACAATGGTTGGGTAAGGGGTGGAGTTGATGGTATAGAAATCGTTACGGACTAAAATTTCAAATTCCTCCAATTGAAGGTGAGTGCATATCAACTATTTTGAAGCTACTGCAATTTATTTATTTTTCCAGCCAAGGTTTTGTTACTTGTCTCAAGCTTACGCTATTAATTTTTGTGATTGTTTTAATGCGTTATCCTAAAGTCGTTTTTGATAATATTGTAGTGAGCCATGGAAACCTCTCTTCTCTTCTACTATCACAGATATACTGAAAATCTCCCTCTTTTTTGCATTTGTTATAGGCCATGTTTTTGGGAGGTAGAACATTGAGATTATGTCAGGTATGTCTTTCTCAAAATCTATTTCCTTGTTATACAAAATTTTGAGGCTATTGCCTTTGGTATGTCACATCGTAGTCCTTCTAGGTAACACTAGGCTTGTGGTTATCTCTGCAACATCATGTCTTTAAGTGTGCAAGATGCTATGGCCTGTGGGTTTTGTTTGATTTCTAAGGCTTACTCATGTTGAGATTACATTGCCAATCAAGTACTCTCAGGTTGGGCATCTGAAATAGTTTATTGAACCCTGGATAACAAAATACTATGAAAAAGTTTCCACACCTGACATTGAAAAAACTACAATTGCACTGTCAATTGTAAGTAATTGGGACTCTTGAATTGTGATTCTTCATTGTTGATCTTACCTTTCCTGTGTGTTGTAATTCTGATGACTGATAGTTGTGATTTACGTATTTTAACAAATCTTTTGGCATGAGTAGTCTGCTACTGTTGTTTGCTGATTTTCAAAGTCACAATTTTCTAAGTAGTCTGCTACTGCATTCCTTTCTCTGTATCCTTATATCATGATTAATGATCAACTCATTGGCTTTAATCATATTATTTCTTAAACTGCAACAACACCAATGAAGCATCTCATGAATGAGTATATAGACCATTAGGATATTATATAGTGAGTAAGATATCCAATATGCATGTCAATTTTTTGTCGTCTAACCATCTACCGCTATATGTGTACAGTGGCATACTCATTCAAATGGTGAGCTTGTTCAAGGAATGACACACTGATCCAGAAAGCTGTCACATTTTGCATTAGGGAACAAACACTGGCTTAATTGCCTTATTTTCTCCATTGTTGAACGCATTTTTTCTATTTTGATAATTCATAGTTTCTTTTACCACTACAAGATAAGAAATTGAATGTATTAAGATTGTTTGTTCTTATTTTAAGTGAATGACATTGTTTTCAGTTTGGTAATTCTTCTTTACTACCTTTGAACTTATTTCTCTTGTGAATTTTGTTTTTGATGTTATAAAAGAAGGCTAAATATGTGAATCAAGCTGAATCTATGATCATCTTTGCCGGCAATAGCAAATGCCACATATATGCTTGTTTCTAAAGTAGCTTTAATGGCAATAGTAAAGGCCGCTAAAAGTAATTACTTTTAGCGGCAATAATAAGGGTCTTTACCGGCACCCGACACAAATGCCACTAAAGGCTTTAGCGACATTGGATCCAATGGCATTTAATCAAATGCCGGTAAATGTAGTTGTGGCAATAACTATTGCCGCTAAAAGAAAAATTAATTGCCGCTAAAGATCTCTTTTGGTGTAGTGATGCTACTCCAGTGGAGCGAGTTGAGAAAATTTCTAGACTTTACATGCTTGTTATATTGGGGGACATCTTATTTCCGAACACGTCGTTTTAGATTCATACTACGGGGCCTTCATCCACCGTGGAGAAGAGCCCCACGATGATCATAGAGAATGTCGTTTCGACAGTTAATGAGGATCCCGATGTGACACAAGTTTATGTTATTTATTTCTTTTAAAATATTTACATTAGTTATTAATGCTTTGATTTTATATAAGAAATGTAGTAGTAAAGACATACTTTGACATTATCAACTTTTTTGTAGCTACGCACACAGAATTCTGGTGCCATATGCTCCCATGCTTGATACCCAATTTGGTCAAATCTCTTTATTGCATGAGAACACGGAATGTGGTATGATTGCTATTTACCACATTGACATTTTCCTTGTGATGCATTTACAATATGATTATTTCCACCACGGCCATGATGCATATGTGTCTACACCTCAAATATGTTTTTCCTTTGTTGGTGATAGTTGATAAATGTGTGACACTGTGACTTTTTTCGATTATCCTCAAAAATCTTGAATGGTTTAGGCATCCATTGTTGCTTTTGTTGTACTAGCTGATTGACAAATTTTAATCTTGTAACAAATTGGTTCACAATTTGATTGTAAGTGAGTCTTACCATTGCAGTAACTAGCATTCCCCTGGCTGACTTAAGAAGACCATTGAATGACTCAGAACTATTTGTTGTCAGCATTCCCCATCTCCTACCTCCATCCCTGTGCAATGTCCATTTGTCTAGATCGTTCTTCATTAACCACACATATGCTTCCGGGTTAATCTCTTTGATCATCTCCATTTTTTCCAAAACTTTTCTCCTGACAGTGATTTGCAGCTACCCATAAAAGGTTGTTCAAAGTAGCATTTTTTGAATTTTTTTTGAAAATTGGCCTTCAAATGTCTTAAACAAAAACGAATGGAATCCAAATGGGGCCTGCCAATTGGGAGAATTATACACGGATGAGAGTATTCCGTGATGCCTATCTGAAATCAATGCTACATCTCTACGACCCTTGACAACGTGCAAGTGCAAATGATCCAAAAATAAAATCCATGTCTCCATGCTCTCATTCGCAACTATTGCAAATGCCAAAGGTAATATTGAGCCGTTACCATCCGTTGCAATCGCAATCAACAACTTGATATCATATTTTCCATAGATATGTGTTCCGTCGATCGATATAACAGGACGACAAAAACGCAAACCCATCAATACATGGTTTAAAAGTCCAGAACACATAGTTGAATACATCTTCAATGACATCGACACGCCGCTCTGTTTTCCATTCAACTATTGTTCTGGAATTGAAGTGTTTCAGTTGTGATGAATATTCATCATGTGTATCGCCAAAGATATCTGGACCATCTTGGAGATGATCCAGATAAGGAATTTCATGATTACGAAACGGACTCATGGACATTGGTCTTGGCGACCGATTGGGCATTAAAAAATCATCATCACTAGATGATGCCTCAAATGGAATATTATCTCCTAATCCTCGGCATTAGGCAAATCATCACTATCACTAGCTGAAGGTGAGCCGTAATTTGGAAGGTCACGATCATCGATATTCACATGATCAATGGGCTCATCTTGTGTGATATTTTTCCCTATATATGTAAAAAAAGTATAAATATTTTATCTCATGCAATTAACTTACTTAAATAAAAAATCAAGTGTTCGACATACCGATAATCATCTGCATCAAAAGTAGGCGAGACATGAAAATTTGAGGATGTCCCAACATTTTTCCGTCATTTCAAAGTATGAGGACTGACCAAAATAATTATCTAGTCCATAACTTGGAGCAATATTCCTATCTTGCTGAGGTAAACCGCTACAAAAATATATAATAATAATAATAAATCATATAAATTAATAAATAATCGATAAAATCAACAAATAATAAACGAAATATAATTATTGAGCATTACCAGTCACTTTCATTGATAGTTTCGTTCAAATCAAAATTATTTCGACTGATAAGAATATTTTGATAATGAGCCATGTTAGGAAAATCAGTAGATTGAGTTATCGAAAATCCATCAACGCTATTACGACTTTTTAATCGGGGATGGACATCGACAGATAAAGGAGAACGTTGTTGACTAGTCTTAGGCTCCTTCCTAACATAGATTTCAAGTATTGTTAACTTGATTTGATCTATGTAGTCGGTCAACGATTCGTCATTATAGATAATCCACTCTCCAAAATTTACTTGTCCTTGTGATAAAAATGAAGTAGGGTATTTTCCGACTATAATCAAATTATAAAACAGTACTGTTTATACCCATTCTTTTATAAATTGATGAACAAATTTATGATAGCGGACATTAATTGAATATTTAGCATTGTGTTTGGGAGGACAATTATAATAAATGGTATTTCGTCATGTATAATTTTGTCATCCCAATAAATCGAAAACTCTAACTTTTGGTTTAGAAGACATTTTTTTTTTGAGATTGAAATGAACAAATATAGAAGACTTTATGTTGTAGGTGCTATCAACTATGTTTGAACGGTCTTTATTCTACCGCAAAGTATTCTAAATGAGGTTGACAAAAAGTGTAGAGATTATTTTGGGGGAGGCAAGTAGGGAAACGGAAGGTAGCATTAGTGGCATGGGAAAAGGTTTGTACGCCAAAGAAGAATGGGGGCCTTAATGTAAAGAGCTGTAAAATGTGGAACATGGCAGCTGTGGGGAAGCTGGTATGGCAATTGGCTTGCAAGGAAGACACTCTTTGGATAAAGTGGGTACATGGTATTTATATGAAAGATGGCAATGAAATATGGACTCATAATCCCCCAGCAGACAGCAGCTGGTACTGGAGGAAGTTGAATTCCGTAAAACAAAGCATGCTAAATTGGTATAATGAAGGTGCATATTGTTTAACTGGAACTGGGTAGTATTCAGTAAGCAAAAGTTATTACAGCTTGCTGGGAGAGTTGGAAAGAGTAAAGGAGTCTGATTTGGTGTGGAGCTCTATTCTACTACCTCGACACAGATATATCCTATGGCTGGCAAGACAAAATAGACTGTTAACAAAAGAGTTAATGATCAGGATGCACATTCCGGTGGAAGATGCAACATATTGTTTATGTGATGATCAGAAAGAGGAATCCCCTCAACATTTATTCTTTGAATGTAGATGGACAAAACGAGTGAAGGAAGAGCTGGAAACATGGTCAGGGTGCAGAGTGCAGAAGGTGCAGGCATGCTTACACTGGATAAAAGAGAGACATTGGCGGCAATTCAAGAAGGAGATGACTGCAACAATGTTGGGGGCAAGGATTTATCATACATGGAAGGCCAAAAATTGGAAACAATTTAAGGGAATAAATGTAAATACTGAGGTAGTTGTTGCACAGATAAAGAAGGAGATACTGGAAAGAATTGACTACATTAAGGGTTCAAGGAAAGCTAGAAAATGTAGTAGTTTAGTAAAGAAACTATGTAACTAGTTTAGCTAGCTGTGTGTTTTTTTATTTGCTTTATGGTTCTGAGGCTTGGGGATGAATAACAAGTTGGTTATGATTCCTTGAAGTGCTCTCTTTTTGTAATTTTTGGTTGTCAATGGTAATCTTTCACAGTTTACCTAAAAATAAAAAAAATTATGTTTGAACGTCCTCCTTAAATAGAGATTAAAGGATTTTTTAGAATAAAAAAATAAAAATACATAGTGGAATAATTTTTTCCGTTTTATTGATATGTCAAATCAATATAATTGTATGACAAACACTGCAAAAGCTTCATAAAGAGATAAAAACGTGAATTATTCCTGTCTGTAAAGTGGAAGTTTTTCTTCCACTTTATAAAGTGTAGGAAAAAGTTCCACTTTACAAAGTGTAAGAAAAACTTACACTTTATAAAGTGTAAGAAATAGTTCCATTTTATAAAGTGTAGGAAATAGTTCTGTTATATATTAAAATATACACGTTATGACTAACGGAAAACGTTTAGAATATTAGATAAAGTGAAATTTTTTCTTCTACTAAGCCTATTTTAGTTACTTCCTAAAGTAGTGACTTATTTTGGTCACTTTTATATTTTTGTGGCTTATTTAGGTTCCCTCTCCTCTTTTATACTATTATAGTGTGTGAATAGTGTCAAACCGAAATTTGTGTGACATTATTCACCAACATCAAATCACCTATAACATTTTTCATTTAACATATTGTAAATTATATGCTTTTAATTAAGTCCCTAATATCCTAATTATTTTTTATGTAATATCTTTATAATATTGATTGTAAATCTTAATTTTGAAAGTTATATATTTATGTAATAATTAAAATATTTTTTTTATCACAATGTTACATTTATTTAATTGTGTTTCATCAATGATTTTACTTTTATTTTTATTATTCGTCAATATGTATATTGTATAATATTTGTTAGCAATTTATGTTATTTAAAAATTTATAATATAAAACTATATATTTTATATCAATTAATGAAAATAAGAGATGAATACGAAGTATGTAGGGTGAATATGTGGGAATAAAAAGAAAGGTTTGTTTTGTGAAATAAAAAATAATAAATGAAACAAAAAAAGAAGAAAAAGAAAAGAAGTGGAAAAACACACACATTTATT